TCAGGCTGTCCAAAGACGCATTTGGCGGTGTTGATAAGGACTCCATATTTTCTCATTCTGTCGAAGAGCTGACGCAGGTGGTCTTCGTGTTCAGAGTGACTTTTTGAGAATATTAAATAATCATCCAAAAAAGGGTAGCAAAAATCGAGTCCACGCGTCATTTCATCAGCAAACCGCTGAAAAGTTTGACCAGCGTTCCGTAAACCGAATGTCATAAAAGGAAATTCGAATAATCCGAAGGGTGTAGTAATTGCAGTCTTCGGAATATCGTCCTTGGCAACAGGGATTTGGTTAAAAGCTTTTACAAGGTCAATTGTAGAAAAGATTGTGCATCCGGAAAGACTATGTGCAAAGTCATGGATATGACGAATAGGGTACTTGTCAGGAATAGTCCTGGAATTGAGAAGTCTATAATCGCCGCATGGACGCCAGCTGTTATCTTTTTTCGGAGCAAGATGGAGAGGCGACGCCCAGGGGCTGTCAGATGGACGAGCAGTACCGTTTGCTATCATTGCGTCAAATTCCAACTTCGCAATTTTCAATTTGTCAGGAGCAAGTCTACGAGGGTTACATGATACTGGGGGGCCTGGTGTGGTGCGAATATAATGTACAGTGTTGTGTAGTGTTTGGCGTGGTGTGCCCGCTGGCCGTGTAATTTCGGGAAACTCACCGAGAATGTTGTAATACTTGCCAACGCCAGTCAAGATTTTTACACTTGAAATCAAGCTGTCTGCAAAAGAAATAGAAGCTACAGTGGACACATTAGTTTTGTTATCAATTAAGCGTTTGTTTCTAACATCTACTATTAAATTGAAAAATGACAAAAAATCTACGCCTATGATTGCTTTAGTAACATCAGCTATTATGAATTGCCACACATAGTCTCGACGAAGTCCAAGGTTTAAACTTAATTGAACAGTACCGTAAGTGTCTATTGTTGAGCCATTGGCTGCACACAGTTGGTAGGTAGTCTTCGCACGGCGCTCGCGGAACGTAGATCGTGGGACGACACAGAGGTCACTACCTGTATCCACAAGGAATTGGATTTTCGACCTACTATCTGTCACGAACAGGCGACCAGTCTTGTTTGGGCAATCGTCAGCCGCCATTACCGACCGCCCTGAGTGTTTTCCGGATTGAAATCGCAGGGGGCGATGCACTTGTGAGCCTTGCTTCCAAATTTGGCATGGTACCAACAGAGTGGCTGCTTCTTGTAGCGGGAACTCGATCTCCGGGAAGATGCTGATCGACCTCGATGACGGGGGATGGATCTGTTACGGGATCTGGATCTGTCCGCTGTCAGTGCCTTAACTTGTTTGGTAAGCGCTGCAATTTGTCGAGCCATATTTTCCAGATTGTAACCGGCTGAGGTGGTAGCAGAAGTGGACGCAACTACTGGAGCTGAAGGAGCGATATCCTGGATTCTGTCTGCAAGATCGGCTAAGGTTTCCAGTGAAGAGGTGGTCTGGGAAGCTATGATCTGCTGCATGTTGTGAGGCAGGCGGCTAGACCAGATCGTCTTCACAAAATCCTCGGGAACACCAGGGCCAGCTAAGTTCTGCAGGTGGCGGAGGAACTGGGAGGGTTTTCTATCGCCAAGTTCCTCGTGCATAAGGAGTTGCTTCACCTTCTTCTCTTTTGAAGCTGAGAGTCTCTTAATTAACTCGCTTTTGAGCTTCTGATATTTATTTGTCTCTGGAGGAGTAATTATGATGTCCTCAACTTCTGCTGCATATTGGTTGTCGAGTTGAGAAATGACGTAATAAAATTTTGTCGTGTCTGCAGTGATATTCGATATTGCAAATTGCCCTTCTAATTGTGCGAACCATATCGCAGGTTTATCCGGCCAAAAAGGTGCGACACGAACTCCGACTCGATAAACGTCGGATGGTGTAGTGGACACGCGCACTTCGGAATGGCCGTCTTGGCGTCTGACGTCACTCGTGGATCCTTCCAGAATTGTTCTTGTGGAATCATCGCTATCACTAGCCATCTTTTTGACAAAAATATTGTTAGTCGATTTCCAGGTACAGAGTAATTAGCGATGATGGTTGTGAACTTGTGATTAATGTGTTCTGTCGGGGGTCACCAGTTATAGTGTGCGGAGGTGTTAACGTTCATACGTATGAGAAACGGTGGCGTGATTACTCACAATAATAATTGTCCAGATTAACTCACGTAGTGTTTATAATCCAACACACAATTACACACACATATTAAAGTACAGAAGGAAGTACACAAGAAGAATAGATAGTTCGGAAAGTAAGCAAAGCACAAAACAGCACAGATAACTACGGCTATAATATTATTAAGCAAAAGCACTTTACGAGCTAGCGAAAGCTTAGGAATTAGTATCGAGTGACATAGGCTTCGCGCGGTGTATCAATCTCGACTGGTATGCGTGGCTGCGTTGTGCGCTCGCGCTGCTTGTATAGGGAAACCGGTCCGGCGACTATTGAGTTGCACGTTTCCATTTCACGACGGCGAGTGGGCAATACCGTATCATCCGGCAAATGTTCGGATGATGTAAATAATATAATATGTAGATAAATATAATTTTGTATAAAGATAATTTTAGTGAATATTAAATTGTGTAAGTATAATTATTATAAAATATATTTGTGTGTTGTTAAATAAATATAAGTTTAGATGTAAGCGTAATGTAAATATAATTAAGTATGTGAATTAATTATGTATAAATAAAGAAATTAAGTGTAAGTCACCTACAGGCTACTTTTTGTCGAGAAAAAATAATTTCAAGAGAATGAAATGAAGAAAGTTTGTAATGGAAACCGCTTATTCTAAACAGACGAAATCTCATCAGCCAGTGAGCCATGAATTTAAGGCCTGCATGTTGATCAACATACCTACATTATAAAATACAACATGGCGACCAGCCACATTCAGGTAGGCACTCTCCGACTGGCTTTCTGCCAAAAACCATACAAATGGATGTCCTAATTTTACGTATCTACCAACCGACGTATTCCTTATCGATATGTTTTTAGAGTACATACACATATATAAATTCTTATATAAAAGTATCTGCATCCTGTATTGAGGAAAAATTGATTGAGAAAAAAATATTTTTTTCGCATTATTCCGAGTGTAGTTAAAACAATGAAGCAATCTTCGACAAATTGTGTCGACCGACATAAGAATTTGAGAATTTATTAAAAGATAGAGCATTTTTTGAACTCGATTCGGGAAACTAGGTATTCTGCATACATGACATAAATAAGCTACTGACCAATAAAACTGCACTGCAATGTTTTGTTCAGTCCATGTTTGCTCCATTTAAAATCAAAATTGCCTGACCTCTATTCCTAGTATACTACTAAACAACAACACCAATATCCCAGAATTAACTACCACCCTGTCCGATTCGAATTCCTATCAAAATACGTTTCAATTTGACATCCAAAAATTGTTTGTTAAACATCAAAGTGACGAATTATCAATTGTAAAAATATTTTAACAAAAAAATAAACTGCTGAAAAAATTTAAAAGCTAAAATAATACATAAACCTTTTTTATCTTTAGTCAAATTAATACTTAGAGTCAGTGCCATGTCAACTCAAGTCGTAAATGGGAACTTAGAGATCTATCGGACATGCATGGCACCGACTCCAAATTTAATTTGACTGGAGACAGGTTTATTTTTTTTGGATTTCAGTTTCTTCGGCGGTTTATTTTTTTTGAATTAATTATTTTGTAAAAAATATACTATAATACAATTTTCCCACCCTTATGGTAGGATTTTTGTTTCTGCCCCCAAATTCGAGGTATACCTTATCCAACAAAAAAAGAACCCTCAAAATCGGACCACTCTTTAAAAAGTTATGTGTGGTCATACATTACAATCAGTAAGAGAACAATCAATCCTCCCCCGTTTTCCTACCTTAGTACACCCTTTCAAATCAAAAAAGAATTATAAAAATCGGACTACTCTGTAAAAACTTATGCGTGGTCATAAACAAAGAAAATATACGCATCGACTTGATAAGCTTCTCGGTTTCTTTTTTAATGTTTATTACTTTCGAATGCCCATTTCACACTTGTCTCTAGAGCTACATTCTTGTTCTGAGGTTGGATTCACGCTTTACATAGGTGAACAAAATTATTTGACAGAAAACCCACGTGAAAACCGGTAAAGTCAATAGAGCGTATACTAAAAAGCTGGCGAATTAAAGCTCGAAAATAATTATGCTAGAAAGATGCACAGACAATCAGGCACCTAAAATATTGAATTGGGTTACAAAATAGTACCTATTTCTTATCTCGCTCCACCCACAATATAAAGAGCCTCGCTTAGAAACAAATGCAAGTCTAGTGTGTACAACTAGTGAGGTCAACCGAAATAGTAGGTATGCAATACGTCTGTAGACTAATGGTTAGTCTAGTCACCAAGCAAGTAACTTGGCTTTTATCACCAAGCGTGACTTCTTAAAGTGTAGCATTAGCCTAAATAAAATTACATATAGAAAATAAATGTGTTAAAAATTCCTCTGCTTATTAACTCAAGGTGTATAATATATCGGTACCTGTCATATTTGACCCATATAAATACCTACATCGAAATAATGAATTCAACCCTTACCCCAAGAGTATAGAAGCACACGCACTTTATACAATCGATCAGACGTAAATTACTTTCATTGTAGTAGCAGAATTTGGGTCATTCCATAGAAACGAATGTTTCGATACATCATGGCGGCATTAAGGCCAATTAGCAATGGAATAGAATAAACACTCATTTTGTTAACGATTGATGAATGATAATTTGATAATGCCATCATAAAGACATAATCTAATTTCAAATTACACTTTTCTACATGAACAAAGTACCAATTAAAAATCATTAAGTAGATACATATTCAATTGTGAAATGGAAAGACACTACCATGTATTTGAAATACAGACTTTAATTCATATAAGTTAACAATACCCTAAACTTTTATAAAATTCAATTCTAACGATAATTTCAATTATTGTTCCAGAAGAACATGATGTGAAGTAGAGTCATGACAATTCTACTTTATGACTACCGGGAGTTGGAGGAGCGTGCTGCCCGACATCTTAGAGTTTGGAAAGGTAGGTTAACTATGTAATACCTGGCGGGTGCGCGGCTATTCGGAAACGGGAGCCGCGAACACACCAGCCCTCTCGGCATACACTAGGAGGACCGCGGTCCTCATAGTGCGTGTTGGGTGACGGTGCAGGAGTATTGTCTGGTTTTTAGTGACCCTGTTCAGGGCGTTAGGTAAGGCCCTGTTTATTTCACCCGACCACAGGGCTCTATGAAATGAACAGGGAAGAGTCCCACATACCTTCTTCTCGCTCCCCCCTTGGTTGAAGGATGAGTAAGGCATTCCCCAGACACAAAAAAAAAGTTTACTATGTAATAAAAAGTGAAGTCATGAAGGAAAACGTGATACACCCAAAGATATTTCTTATAACCAAAAAAATGAAGTTGAGATAAAGAAATAAAACATAAAAAAGCCAAAAATAAAAAGCAAACATGAGTGTCGTAGAACACACGGTTGGAAAAAACTTTAAACCAAGTCCACAGCCACCGCCTTCATCCCACCTAGTTGCCCATCTACCTTTTTTTGTGTCTGGGAAATGCCTTACGCATCCTTCAACCACTGGGGGAGAAGAAGGTATGTGGGACTCCTCCCTGTCCCCTTCAGCCAGCCCTAAGGATCGTTGAAGTGATCAGGGCCCTATGGACGCCCTGAACAGGGCCACTAAAAACGAGACAATACTCCTGCACCGGTCACCTAGCGCGCATTCTGAGGACCGCAGTCCCCCCAATGCGCGTCAGGAGTGCGGGTGATATGCGGTACCCTGTTGGATTGGCCGCGGTTTGCCCATCTAAGTACCTAGCCGCCGGAAAAATTTTAGGTACATTTTCTTTCACCTAGACACCATTCGCCATACCGTCCGAAAAGGAAATTCGTTCTAAAAAGAAAAACAAAAAGCCTTGGGAATGCGATCGATCTGCCTTAACTTCTTTGCAGTTTCTTTGAACATTGAACCAAGGGAACTTTCTCAAATGCTGAAGTGCTGACCCAATTACCGGTGCATCATAATATCATAAGCTCGCTGCTCAAGCTTGTAGGTATTTGCCACTGAACGGCGCCACTGAACAGCAGTTCTCGCTCACGCCCATAGAGCAGAAGAAATCCGGGAGGCAGTAGCCATAGCGACCTATATTGCGAGCGTCGTAGTAAACAACAAACAGAGAAGAGTAGCAAACTCAGCATCCAACGTGCTACTCCGGCAGCGTCACCAAAAGCGGATTTCTGACGAAGAGGGTTTCATTAAAGTGGAAAGGAAGAAGAGGAAGCCCATTGGCCGCAATCTGTGTGGTGCTGCCCCGACCGGACCGAACCATCTGCTGCGTCCTGCAATAATAAATAAATAAATATTTCCAACACTCACACCAATAAGCCTAGCCCCAAAGTAAGCACTGTAAGGCTTGTGTTATGGGATACTAGGGTAACGGATAGAATACATATACTGTACATATATAAGTATATATATATATATATATAGACATACATATTAAACAACCAGGCTGGAGTACAAATGCTCGTGTTCATCACACAAACATCTGCCCCCACCGGGATTCGAACCCGGGACCTCTCGAGTCGGCGACACCATGAAACCCGGCGTACAATCCACTCGGCCACAGAGGTCGTCAATACCGACGACGCCGCTATACGTGTCCCGACTGCATTACTCTACGAAGGAAGAGGAGATCGTAGAGTACCTGCGGATTAAGACCAAGTTCTCCCTCAGAGTCCCACGGTTGGAGTCCCGTCACAATGTGAATTTTAATTCCTTTGTGGTGCGGATGCCAACCGAACATCTGGCGACGTTCATGAAGGAAGATTTTTGGCCGAAAGGTGTTGTCGAGGCCGGCTACCTGACACCACTCCGCGTCACACGTCGCCGTCTATACGTGTAAATTAGGTTTCTACTAACATAGTTATTATTATTTTTTATTTACTAACATTTAATGTATTGCCTATATCTGTATTTATGTTAGACTATCTATGGTATTTATCTATGGGCCTACGTTGCCTGATATAAACAAATAAATAAATAAAAAATCAGATCATCGGTAATTTTGTTCGGGAGGGAATTAAATAATAATTGAATTCGGACAAGGATACATCCATATAATGGTTAGTTACACGATTACTTATTATGTAGTGTTAGTATCGAAATTTAATTATTTACTAAGCTTGTGACCGTTATGCACTTTTGGATACGATATGCAATAATAGGGGAATCATATCGACCCCCTATAACTTGCAGAATGGAGTTGGAGCTGGCCCGCACCCTGCAGAGCAACGAAGCGGCTCTCTTCCGCATGATGGCATGAATATGCACAGAAGCACAGTTTAACATACTTGCGTCACAAATATTTTTTTAATTACGACACTCACACATGAACAATAACACAATACACCGCCTAAACCTGCACACATATATCGTTTGTATGCCCAATCCGACAGAGGGGAATGCTGTGTATGCCTACTCCCCTCCTGGCCGCGTCGACCGTGTTGCTCTTTGCTCACACCAGCCGAGCTTGGTTGCATTTCCGAAACCTTGTTTAGTTCGTCAATTAAAAACATTTGTATGCAAGTTACGTCGCGAATTTATGTCAACCAAAAATAATGTTTAACCAAAAAAACCTAGTTGGTTATTCAGTTGGGAGCACATTTGTGGATATGATACAATCTGACATTGACTTACCATTTACTATAAAGTACCACTTTAGATAAAGATTACGTAGTGGGACTATTGTGCCAGAGTAGGTATACCTTAAGCTGCTGTCCGACGTATGAAAACTCTAACGTTTGAGATTTAGCAGTCTCTATACATGATACAAGGTAAATAGAAGTCTCGTTGACTTTGTGATGGCATAATGAAGCTGTACTTACTTAGTCGATCCTTTGTCCTATTTTGCAATTTAGGGATCCGTTTGCGAAATATTGAACTTTAAAGTGCAAATTTTTGTACGAGAAGGGCGCCTCTTTATTATAAACTTTTCAGGAAAATTATAACGGTTAAGATAGTTTTGTTACTTTCAGAGTAATAAGTAGTCGTTAAACTTTGGTTAAAGAAAATTTCTTACCTATAGATAAAATGAAATAGTGACATAGATGAAGTTATTGCAGCGTAAAATCTTGCTTTGAAAAACAAAATCTAAAAAAAACTATTTAAATCCACGATAAAATATCATTATTTCCACAAAGCTACCAACGGCAATAGCTTCTGAATCGCGCTATCGTTACGTTTTTATAAAGCACTTGAAAAGATCAGCGGTTAGCATTCATATTTAAAAAAAAATATCGAATTGATTTTGAGTTTGAGACGCAGACGACTTTGATTTCGGTGTTTTAGTTGAGATACATAGTTTGATTTTAATTGTTTTTTTCTTATTTCCGATAAAGAAAATAAAGACTCCTACTCAAATATATTGTGGTAACGACAGGCCACTACGGAACCCTACACTGCGCGTGGCACGACACGCACTTGCCTGGTTTTTAATATAAATATACGTAGATTTGAAGGCTCTCCTGCAAAGCTAAGCGATGTTCATATCATCATCATCATCATCAGCTTAATAATGTTCCCACTGCCGGGGTACAGGCCTTCCCTATGGTTGGAATAGCGAGATTGGGCCATGACCCACCACGCGGGCCCAGTGCGGATTGGTGGGTGCTAACGACTGCAGATGCAGCCGCAGCAGCAGAAGCACGGAGGAGCTCGAGATAGTAATTTTTGGTCACCTATCCAATGACCGACCACTGCGAAAGTTGCTTAAGTTCAACGATCGCAGCCGAACGCGCTAACCACTTGCGCCATCGAGCTCCTCGATGTTCATATATCACTTATTAATTTTCATTTAAAAGAAGTAGGTAATTTTTGTTACGGATTTCATGTCATATATTAGTTTCATAAATCACCAACTTAGTAGAGGTTAATTTTTCCATAAACGATAACATTACCGAAACTAATTATAATAATATTACCTACCTACTTATTTATAGTACATGAGGAAATAAAACTCATTTAGGTATGAATGTTAACAAATATTAAATATCTGCAGTATATAGTAGTATCAATTACGTAGTTGCGTATAATTCAATGTTTGTTTGAAAATCAGGTGGAAGCAGTTGCAAAAGTAATTTATTTATTTATTTTATTCTTCTTTACCAAAATACAGTAAATGGCGGACTTAATGCCATAGGCATTCTCTACCAGTCAACCAGTAAGGGTGTGGGAGACGAATGTTATGAAATTTAGATGTTAATGATATTTATTTTGAGGAGCTCGATGGTGCGTGCAAGTGGTTAGCGCGTTCGGCTGCGATCTTAGAAGTTAAGCAACTTTCGCAGTGGTTGGTCATTGGATGGGTGACCAAAAATTTACTATCTCGAAGTCCTGCGTGCTTCGGAAGTCACGTTAATCCGTTGGTCCCGGCTGCCTCTGCAGTCGTTAGCACCCACCAATCCGCACTGGTGGTCACGGCCCAAACTCCCTATTCTATCCATTGGCAAGGCCTGTGCCCCAGCAGTGGGGACATTAATAGGCTGATGGTGATGGGGTGGTGATGATTAGGTATATCTGGAGTCCACGAAACTTTATATCTCAAATCCTATCGTTATGCTTCTCCCACAACTGCGCCTGCGCGACAAGGCTTAGGTACTTATATGCATTATAATAAGCATCCGGAAATAGTTCTATAGTAACCGTAAGTATGCTCCTTCAGATGCACAAATTTACCATACCTATCTCAGGCATCAGTCTCACACAAACATTTCATTTGTGTCTTTACTGTGATTACATGTAACTTGTGTAAAACTGTCTGTGATGAGAAAATAAAACTAATTATTATATTATCTTATAGATAAAATTCACGTGTCACAATGTTAGTTACCATAATCCTCCGAAACGGCCTGACCGATTTTTATGAAATTTTATATGCATATTCCGTGGGTCTGAGAATCGGCGACTATCTATTTTTCATATCCTTAAGTGATAATGGTTGTCCACCTGTAACGTAGTGTTCT